AAGGGATTTATTGTGTTAAAAATAAAAAGAATTAATTAAAAAAAAAGAGAAAGGAAATGAGTTTTGGGGTCTCTTCAGGCTGGTATTCCCTATGGGGGGGGGGGGGTGTCTCCTTCTTCCTGCCTCATTGCTGCCAGCCCCTCCCCCCTTATAGGTAGTCCTCAAGTTGTGACCTCTGGAAGCAGACTTTTTCGTCCACGGCAGTTGTTAAGGGAGTTGGGCCCAATTGTGCGACCTTTGTGCCGCAGACGTTAAGCCAATTTCTGTGCTTTGTGGTGCGACTCACCTGGTCATTAAGTGGATCCAGCTTCCTCCATGGACAATACTTGGGGGAAGCCGGCTGGGACCCCAGGACTCTCCCGCGGTCATAGATGCATGCCGATCGCCCAGAATTTCGACCCTGTGATTCCTGGAGATGCTGCACCAGTCATAACGACGAAGACTGGTTGTACGTCGATCTTGGGCAGGAATCGGGGGTGGGTGGGTGTTTCCGATTGGCTAAGGAGGGGGACATATGTGGAGATGGCCTCAACCACACCTGTATACCTGCATAACATCACTGGCTTTTTGTTTTCCCACTGCCCTTTTAACAAGGGTCTCATGCTTGAGCAGGGGGTGGGATTATCAATCTATCGATCAGAACAGAGCTGGAAAGGGGCCTTGGAGGTCATCTAGTCCGACCCACCCTGCTCGATCAATCCAATCAGTCAGTATAGAGCTGGAAAGGGGCCTTGGAGGTCATCTAGTCCAACCCTCCCTGCTCGATCAATCAAATCAGTCAGTATAGAGCTGGAAAGGGGCCTTGGAGGTCATCTAGTCCAACCCTCCCTGCTCGATCAATCAAATCAATCAGTATAGAGCTGGAAAGGCACCCTGGAGGTCATCTAGTCCAACCCCCTGCTTGATCGATCAAATCAATCAGTATAGAGCTGGAAGGGGCCTTGGGGGTCATCTAGTCCAACCCTCCCTGCTCAATCAAATCAATCAGAATAGAGCTGGAAAGGGACCTTGGAGGTCATCTAGTCCAACCCCCCCGCTCGATCAATCAAATCAATCAGTATAGAGCTGGAAGGGGCCTTGGAGGTCATCTAGTCCAACCCTCCCTACTCGATCAATCAATCAGAATAGAGCTGGAAGGGGCCTTGGAGGTCATCTAGTCCAACCCTCCCTGCTCAATCAATCAATCAATCAGAATAGAGCTGGAAGGGGCCTTGGAGGTCATCTAGTCCAACCCCCTGCTCCAGCAGACCCCATATCATTCCAGACAGATGGCTGTGTGCAGCGCAATGCAAGGATAGGTTTTGCTACGGATCGTGGTTATTTTGCTTTTCATGTGGTGATGGACAACTTCACACGTTGTACATCTGTTTTATTTCACTTTTCCCTTCTCGGAGTTGTTTTTAACTGCTGCCAGCTCCCCAACATCAGGTAAAATGGGTGGCCATATAGGTAGTCAGTATCCAAATTGAGTTGGAAGGGGGCTTGGAGGTCTTCTAGTCCAACCCGCTGCTCAGACAGGAAACCCCACACCATTCCAGACAAGTGGCTGTCCAGTCTCTTCTCGAAAACCTCCAGGGATGAAACAAACACCCACAACTTCTGGTGGCAAGCAGTTCCACTGGTTAACCATTTTCAGTGTCAGGAAATTCCTCATTCCCAGGAATTGCTTCTCTCCTGGATTAGTTTCCATCTGTTGTTTCTTATCCTGCCTTCTGGTGCTTTGGAGAATAAATTGACTCCCCTCTTCTTTGGGGCAGCCCCTCAAATATTGGAAGGCTGCTATCACGTCCCCTATTCCTCCCCCGCCCCCCCATCATTCTTTTCTAGCCAAACCCAAATCTTACTAAGGCCACACCTAAAGCCCTGCATCCAGTTTTGGTCACCACACTATAAAAAAGACATTGAGACTCTAGAAAAAGTGCAGAGAAGAGCAACCCGGATGATGAGGGGACTGGAGGCTAAAAGATACGACGGACGGTTGCAGGAACTGGGCCTGGCTAGTCGAGGGAAGAGAAGGACCAGGGGAGACAGGATAGCGGTCTTCCAATATTTGAGGGGCTGCCCCAGAGAGGAGGAGGAAGGGGTCGAGCTATTCTCCAAGGCATCTTTGAAGGCCAGACAAGGAATAATGGATGGAAACTGAACAAGGAGAGATTAAACCTGGAAATAAGGAGAAACTTTCCAAAGCGAGAACAATTAACGGATGGAACAGAAGTTGCCTTCAGAAGTGGTGGGAGCTTCATCCCTGGAGGCTTTCAAGAAGAGACTGGACTGCCCATCTGTCAGAAATGGTGTAAGGTCTCCTGCTTGGGCAGCGGGTTGGACTAGATGACCTCCAAAGTCCCTTCCATTTCTGTTATTCTGTTATCAAGGAGAGATTCAACCTGGAAATAAGGAGAAACTTTCAGATAGTGAGAACAATTAACGGATGGAACGGAAGCTGCCTTCAGAAGTTGTGGGAGCTTCATCCCTGGAGGCTTTCAAGAAGAGACTGGACTGCTCTCTGTCCAGAAATGGTGTAGGGTCCCCTGCTTGGACTGGGAGGGGTTGGACTAGATGACCTCCAAGGTCCCTGCCAACACTGTTATTATTTTGTTATTCAGAAGTTGTGGGAAGCTTCATCCCTGGAGGCTTTCAAGAAAAGACTACACTGCCATCTGTCAGAAATGGTGTAGGGTCTCCTGCTTGGCCGGGGGGTTGGACTAGATGACCTATAAGGTCCCTTCCAACTCCATTCATCCTGCAACGGTTCCAATGTTTTAGTCTCCAGGCCCTTTTATCGTCTTTTAAGTTGCTCTGCAAACCTCCCAGGTCTCGGATTTCTACCTCTCTGCTCCTCCTCCAGTTCCCCAGTCCACGTGGTGTACAAACTCTGCTTAGCAGCTGCAACAACCCATTTACTCAGCCGGGTCTTCTCTACCTCTAGGGGACTGGCAGCGGACCGGTTCCTTCCCGCTCAAGCGGCGTTACTCAGCACCCTTCAAGCACAGCTCTAACCCACGCAGTTCCTGCAGAAACTCACACCGAACCAGCGAGGCGGAGTCAGCCTGCTCCACAGGGGGGCTGTGCTCAGGACCCCCCCTGCCCCCCCCAGAAGCTCCACACTTGAGCCAGAAACCTCCTAGAATTGGGTCTACCCGGCCGGCAGGTTGAACAGTGTAATAATAACAGATCATCCAAGTTGGAAAGGACCTTGGAGGTCATCTAGTCCAACCCCCTGCCCAAGCAGGAGACCCTACACCATTTCTGACAGATAGGAAGCTCTTTTACAGTGCATACAGTTAGTTCTTGTCTTAAGACCACAACGGCCCCCCCCCCCCCCCCGAATTTCTGTTGTGAAGTTGAGTTTTGCCCGTTTTATGACTTTTCTTGCCAGTCATTAAGTGAATTGCAGTTTTGAGTTAGCCACAAGGTCGTTAAGTGGATCTGACTTTCCCCATTGACTGAGCTTGGTCAGGTCGCCACCAAAGGGAGATCTCGTGACCGGCGGGGGGGGGGGGGAACACTGAGCCCGTCGTAAATATGAGTCAGGGGCCAACATTGTCTGAATTTTGATCACGTGACCGTCATGAGGTCGTAAGTGTGAAAAAATGGTTGTTCGTCACATTTTTTTCTTTTTTAGGGCTGTTTCACTTTGGTCACTAAACGGACTGTTGTAATTCAAGGACTAGATGCACCATTGGTGGGTCTGAATTTCCCCAACACTGAAAGCAGTGGAACAAGGCAGCCTTTTGAAGCTAAAGGGGGCTGCATCTGTTGGTGATTGGGCAGCCGGGATGAACAGAGACTGGCCAAGGGGTTGGACTAGAAGACCTCTAAGGTGCCTTCAGCCCTAGAATTGTGATTCTCCTGCCAACTAATCCTTCGGGTACCATCACCAAAAGAGAGGTTTCTCTCTCAGCCTTTTACCATACTGGTATATCCTAAGTTTGTAGAAACCTAGGGCTGGAAGGGATCTCGGAGGTCATCTAGTCCAACCCCCCCCCCCCTGCTCAAGGCAGGAGACCTACCTATCCTGGCTTTTTTTCCATTCCCAGCCCTAGGTGTAGACAAAAAGTTTAGCCTTCTTTTTTTTTCACTCACCTGTTCACAAAAACACACTGTCCCTTTTAAACTTGTGTGGACTTTTTTTCAACGACGCTGGGCTGGGGGATTCTGGGAGTTGGTAATCTACAAAACAGCCGAGCTTGAAGAAATCACTGCTCTAACTGTGATTGACAGCCATTCTTGGCTTACGATTGGTGGGGTTTCCATTCTGGCCCTCTAGACCAACCGCCTCTTCCACCATGCCCCCCCCGCCCCCCCAAAAAAATCCATATAGGCCAGAGGTCTCCAAACTTGGCAACTTTTAAGACTTGTGGACTTCAACTCCCAGAATTCTCCAGCCAGCTATGAATTCTGGGAGTTGAAGTCCGCCAGTCTTCAAAGTGGCTAAGTTTGGAGACCTCTGATATAGGCTGTGACATCAAACCAAGATTCCCCCAACCAGCATAGTTGGGGGCCTGGGGGGGGGGGGTCTCCCCCCCCCCCCCCCCCCCCAAAAGCCCTCCTCCCGGCCTAAATGAAACAGACACTTAACAAAACCAAGCCTTTTTTTCACAGCAATATGCATTTGTGCCCTTAACAAGATCCAAAACTACGGTAGAAAAATATTCTCCGAAATAGGAGCATTGTAATATACAATACGGTCGATTCTCAGACAACTGAGAAATATTCGGGTGAGGTTTTCAGTCCCTGCTTTTTCCTTTTTTTTGTTTTTTTCCTGAAAGCAGGAGGGGAACTAAAAGGCACTGTCCCATCAAGACGTTAAAAGAGACGTAGGATGTTTGAGTCCAATTCTCACCGTTGGTCCCCGCCATGGAATTCAAAGCGCCAGAAAGACAAATATATATATATATATTTTTCTCCCGTCGTGTCTTGACCTCCAAAAAAAGAACACAGTTTCTCTATCTGCCGTGTCCAGCTCAAATTTCGGGTGATGAGGAAATGGGGTAGAGACAATTTCCCAGCCATTGGAGGGATAGGAAGCGTTTCCACAGATCGACAGATCTTCCGGCAGGCTTAAAGAGGATCTTTCAGCGACACAGGATTCGGTCATCCGAGCTAACGCAAGCAGCCTGTTTGAAAAAGAAAAGCCCAAAAAGCAACGGTTAAGACAAAAGATCAGCAGTTGTGTTGCCATCCAGCCTTTATTCCCCCTCCCCCCAAAAAGGTTCAGCGGGTCAAATAATTGTACGTTTTGGCGGTCAAGAGTGTTGTGGCTCAAAAGAGACAGACAGTGAGGGGGTTGGAGAGGAGCACGGGCCACTCCTGGAGTCTGGGGAAGGGTCTGATGAGTTGTGGGAGGCAGAGATGGGGCCAGGCCCCTCCGACAGTTATCAGCTGCCTTCAGAGTTGGAGATCAGCAGGGAAGAAGAACAGCGGGAGCCTGTTCCCAGTGTGCTCATGCACAGAGCTGCCAGAGGAAGGGAACAGCTAAGGAACAAGGGCTGACTTGGGAGTAAAGCCACAGGTGGACGGTGAATAACCCCTCCCATAAAAGAGCAAAAGGGGAGTGGGGTTTTGCAGGAGATAATTAGTTCAATTCATTAGGGTGAAGATCTGTGCCTGACTCCTCGCCAAGTCATTGCTGCTACAGAGTGGCGTTTGGGAGCTATCGGCCTGGCAACTCTCCCAGCCTGATCAAGGTCTGTGGTTGTGAAATCTCATGAAAGACTGTTGGCCGGGACTTTGCTGGAGAGGAATTTCCTTGAACTTCAATAAAAAAAGGGGTTTTATCAGGAACGAGGAGTCAGCTTTGTGATCTTGGGAACAAGCCCGGGTCAGAACAAAAAGAGGAAGAGGAAGGACGGCGACATGAGCTTGCAGATGGCACCAGAGGGAGGTCAACAGCCCGTTTAGAAGTGTTGTGAAACTCAGAAGCTGACATACCCTACAAGCAGCTGTTTCTTCTAGAGATTTCTTTTCTTGCAATTTTTCTTGCAATCTCTTTAAAATCAGAAAAGCCACAGGGAAAGAATATATATATATATTCTTTCCCTGTGGCTTTTCTGATTTTAAAGAGATTTTAAGAAAAATTGCAAGACAAGAAATATATATACAATATATATAATAAAATGCCTACTTGCCCAAGAATCCAACCACCGATGCCCTTGGACTGGCATAATTAAAAGAATATTTGATATCGACATTTTTTTTAAAAAAAAAAACAAACCTTGATTTTTAACGGGGTAGGGGATGGAGAGTTGTATAGAGGTAATCCTCAACCTATGACCACAATGGAGCCCAGTATTTTGGATGCTAAGGGAGACGTGAGTTTCACCCCACTTTACGAACTTCCTGGCCACCGTTGTTAAGTGAATCACTGCATTCAATAAGTTAGTCACAAGGTCATTAAATGAATCTGGCTTTGCTGTGGATTTTGCTTACCAGAAATTTGCAAAAGGGGAAATCACATGGCAACGGTCGTAAGTATGAGTCAGTTTCCAAGCACCTGAATTTTGATCATGTAACCCAGGGGTGTCCAACCTTGGCAACTTTAAGACTTGTGGACTTCAACTCCCAGAATTCCTCAGC